AGTGCTGCATCTATGATAGTAAGCTTCGTGTTGTTTTCAATAATTTGGTTTTTCAATCAGGACACTCGTAAAATCGCTGAAAAAACAAAGACTAATTAATGTCCAAGATGTTTCATTAAATTTATTTGAGAATTGTGTAAATTTAGTAATATACATTATTTAAAAATTTTTTCTTTTGTCACATCATTTAATTGGTTATTTCTACAAAAAAAAAAAATGAACAAACAATAAATTATATACAAATGTTTAATCCTAACCAATAAATGGCAAATCTAGCCATCCTGTGAAGAGAACCCTTTTCTCAATTCTCGTTCTCTCTTAGTCCACTCCATCATCATTTGTCCAACACTAACTACCGTGGAATCCGCCGCTTCCACCACACGTTGTTTCAAATCTACAATTACTGGTTCATATTTTACATAAGCCTCAGCACAGAAACTCCGGAATGCCTGAGTTTGAACCCAAAAAGTCTCTAGGATAAAGGTAGTTACTTTTGAAAAGTATGACCATAAGGCATTCATAAGAATAATCATCCTATCATTAATTACAGAGGTGATGACCTTGAAATATGGTAAGATGCGAAGATATATCGATTTGGAACACTTATACATGACAAACATCATTTCTTGAGAGCGGATCCATGCGTAGCTCAATGCTGTAGTTGTCAACGAGATTGCCCATTTTGAAAATCGAAGGAAAGCGAGGAACGCTTTCAATATGAAAGTAGTATAAATGAAGCTTAAGATCGAGATGACAGGCTTTAGCAGTGGTATAAAAACTTTCCACATGAAGTTAAACAAGTTGACGAGGTGTTCTTTCACATGCCTGTACATCTTGTTTGAGAAATTCTTGACTATTATAAAAGTACTAATGGCCGGTAGAATGATAACGTTATTTATCAAAACCAGTGTTTCAACAGTATCTCGAAATGCGACGATTGCTCCCTCCACGATTTCAAAACTACATCTCTTTACATGTCTTACGAAAATAGGAGTCACGATTTTGAGATGGGACAAAATCAATTTTTGCAATGTACCTGCTGAAACTACTGAATAAACATACTCTGCCACGAAGTGGAAAGCTGGGTCTGAACATATACCATATAAAATGTTGGCAAAGTCGTTGATAGTTGCTAATATAAATCTAGAGTATAGAAATCTTCCAATAATTGGAATATGTTTTTTTCCTTTTTCATAAAACTCGAGTGCCATATGAATCGCAGGATTGAGGATATTCTTCCATAGCGCAGCAAAAACTTTATACCCCATGATCCATAAGTCCCTCGCGTCTTCTGCGAGGTCTCTGGCAAGGAGACAGGTACAATACCACGCGATCCTTGAAAGGTATAATGTTCTCGAAAAAATCCATTTCCCAGGTTCAATTATAAAAGTGACAAACACCCATGAGAGAAATTCTAGAGATGGATATAAAAACTCGTTCCATCCTATTACTGACAACTCTAGAGAGCGATGCCACGAATGTATCATGATTTTTTTCCCTTCGACTGCAGCCGACCAACCAATGATTGCCGAATTTTTAACAACGGGCCAAAAATAGATATACGTCCATTCAAGACAAAGGGACAACGTTCTTAGGAGTCTCTGATGAATATATTTATTCCAAAAAGTTTTGATCGCGACATACATGTCCGGTAACTTCTTTATAAATTGTATCAGAAATCTTACAAGCATAATTGCTCCGGAGGCTGATCCTTCCAAGGAATGAAATACGAACAACCTGAAAGCATCCCATGTTAGACGTAATGTGAAATATACAACTGCAAAAGGAATAAATGGAATAAATAACAGCGGGCTCGTTTCAGGTCGAATCTCTTGGGGTTTTTTATCAATAGTGTTTGTAAAGAAAGTTTTTCGATTTCGTCGCCATCTTGGATAATCTTTTATGGCAACATATACATAAGCTATCGATAGCAACAAAGCTATTATAGCGTATAAGTGAAAAAGGGAAATTTTGTCAAACATCTTTGGTTTTTTCGTGTGGACATAGTCACATCCTACTTATATACCGTTGATACATACATATAGCATAGACACGTAATCGGAAAAAATGGAAGAATTGCATCACCGATCGCACCTTATCGACTTGAATTGGCATCGCATCTGTGAACAAAATTAGTAACAATTGCACATTGTAGAATGTATACGTGTATTTTTTTGAAAGTTGATTTTTGAATGAAATATAAAAATAAAAATTTTTTAACTATTTTTGCCTTTATTAAATTTTTTTTTTGCTCCAATTGAAATCACACAAGTTTTATTTTCACGAATTCTTTTTAATAATTTTCTGATGTCAAATGTTAATTGTTAATTTATAATCATACTATATAAAATTTTTTTATTTATGATCATATTATATAAAAATTTTTTATTTTTTATTTCTTAACACAACATAAGAAAATAAAATTTAATTAATATATCTATAACTATTAATAATGATTAATCGCAGTTTTTTAAAAAAATTATTGAAATTTTGTTTTTTTATAATATTAATAAAATCTAATATATTGCATAATATATTTAAATTATAAATTTAATTATTGTATACAGTAATATAATTAAATTTAAAAAGAAAAGTTGAAATTCAAAAAAAATCTATAATTAAATATTATTTACTTAGGATTTTGATTTTAAAAAATTATATTAATAAATAAAAATCTTTTAAAATTAATTTTTAATTTATTGAAACAAATTCTATATTATTACTTACAATTAAAAAAATTATTTAATTTTTATTAATTATAATGTTTAATATATAAGAATATTATAATGTTAGAATTAATAAAAAAAACTTTATTAAATATAAAAAATCTAGATAATATTGTTATTTTTCAAAAAAACAAAACTTTCTTTATATAAATAATTTTTTTATATAAATAAATAAAGTAATAATATATAATTAAATATAATATAAAAAAAACTCTCTTCTAATAAAAAAAAACACTTTTCCACTTCCCCTTCTACACTTGAAGATTTCCTTTTTAGGAAATTTTTAAGTTGTTTACTTTTTCTTTTGTCTTCTTTTTCTCTTTTCTTTATGTTCTCCTTTCTATACCTCTTTATTTCTTTTTTTTTATCTTCTTCTCTCCCTTTTATATACTTTTTTATATATCTTATATCTCTCTTCTTCTCTTTTTCCTTTTTTTTCTTGCTGAAATTAAGTTTTCTATTTTTTCTAAAGGTTTTCTTTTCTAAATCTCTCTCTTTTTAAAAACTTCATCTCTATAACATTACTTCTCTAACCAATTAATTTTCTTTTCTCAAGAACTATATTAAGAAGTGATAACTTTTTTTAGGTTATAGACTTTAGAAAATTTCTCTTTTATATGGTTCCTTAAAAAAAAGACAAATGATTTATTATCTCCTTCAAAAGATTAACATGGTCATTATTATCAAACTTGACATTATTTATTAATCAGTGATTAGACTAGATACACCTAAAAAATCTCTATATAACTATTATTATCTGAAAGTATCCAAGGAGTTGTGCCTCATAATATCCAAAGTGAAATGGCAATCAATATCAATGAAACTAACAATAAGTTAGGTTAGTTGCAGATATCATATTGATAATTAAAGAGCTTAATAAAGTAATACGTAATGATCAAGGATTCTAGTTATTCTTAAAAACGAGTTGATAACAATAACAAAAGTTTCTTGTTTATCTCTTAAACAATATAGGTCTATTGTATAACATTAGGTTTCAGCATCATTAAGAAAATCAATATAAACTCCACCTATATGACACTTTTGTCATACTTGAAGCATAGGTATGCCAAATTCTTTTTGTGACTTGAAGACAAATCTTTATAAAGTGGCTACAGTACCTTTATGCAAAAAGGTATTTACTTTTCATCACCTCCAATACTATTTCATTTGCCATATATTAAGCCATATTTGAAAAGCAGATGTGCCAATTCTAATCATAACTTGAAGGCCAACTTATATAGATTGGTTATAGTACCTTCATATAATTAGATATTCATTTACTTTTAGATAACTAGATATCATTCAAGACAATAATATAGATTTTTAAATTTCTTTTTTTTTGTATTTCTTGAATAGTGCCAAAAGAGCACAAGAGTTAGATCTCTTATAAGGATCTTGTATTAAACTCTTTCTAGCAAAAAAAGACATATGTTGTGCTATTAATATTATATCTTGTTTTGCAAATAAAAGTATAATACAATGAATTGCCAAAAGTTTATAAACACTTTTATTTTTTTAATTGTACAATATTTATTTTAATAATTATAATTAATTTTTTTATAAAAATGTAATTACATATTTATTTAATATTTTCAATTAAAAAAATTTTTTTAATAAAAATAAAAATAAATTTTTTTATTTATCTTATATTTTTCTCTCTAAATTTCATGTAATCACTAATATGAGCATGAGAAAAGAACTAACATCCAAACAAAAATCAGCTATAATTTATGGTTTTCAAAGAAAAGATTTGTATTGCACTATTGTAACTCACGTCGGATGTAAAAAATCAGTTGTGGGTAACATTATAAACAAGTTTATTAAAACTGGATCTATAGAACTACAACCCCGAACTGGACAATCATGACTCCTCAACGATCGTGCCCGTATCACTCTTAAAAAACTTGTTACTAATAAAAAAAATCAGTTTTTGTGCAATGCAGAATTAACAAATCTTTTTACATCAAAAACAAAAATTAAAGTATCTGAAAGGATGATTCATCAAACTTTACATCATAAGAAGTTAAAATCTTACATTGCCCGTCCTAAACCACTTGTCTTCAAAAAGAATATCAAAAAAAGACTTATCTGGTGTCTTGAGTGTAAATATTGGTTTATTTATAATTTCAAGAAGGTAATCTGGAGCGATGAATTAACATTCTCTCAATTTCAACAAGAAAGCAAAAGCCATGTATGACGTACTTTATATAAGAAGTAGGATGTTGACTGTCTTTCTGTTATGGTTAGCTATAGCTCGAGTCAAATGCACTGAGAGTGTTTTTCGTGATTCGGCACTGGCTCTCTTGTTTCCCTTGACATGTCAGTTACAGGTAAGAAAAAATAAAAACAAAAAAAACAAAAAAACAAAACAAAAACAAAACAAAAAAAAAAACAAAAAAAAAAACAAAGCAAAAAAAAAAACAAAACAAAAAAAAAAACAAAAACAAAAAAACAAATGAATTTTTTTTTTTATTATTTTTTTAGAAAAATTCTATGTCGAAACTTTTGAGGAGAATTTTTTGTCAACTCTTCGTAATTTTCCTATGTCAAATTGGATTGATGCAGGTCAGCCTTGGTTTCAACATGACAATGCAAGACCATACACTACAAAAATCACAAAAAAGTTTCTTGTTAAAAAAAATGTTAGTGTTATGAACTGGCCTTCACAAAATCCAGATCTTAATTCTATTGAAAATCTCTGATATATGATAAAATATTGTCTTAAAAAAGTTACATCTAAATCTCAAAACTTAACAGAACTCGAGCAACATGTTAAAAAGTATTGGGATGAGATAAGTCTAGAAGATTGTCAGCAATTAATCAAAAGTATATCGTGTCACATTACAGCTTGCATTGCAGCTGGAAGAGGATCAACAAAATATTGATTATTTAAGTAAAATTTTAAATATAGTTAACATGTAAATATTCTATTATATAAAAAAAATTTTTTTTATTTAAAAAATTTTTTTACTGAGTTTTAAAAAGTATTTATAAACTTTTGGCAATCCACTGTAATATAATAAAGTGTAATAACTATTTGCTTTTTTCAAAAAAAAAAAAAACTCTCTTCTAATTATGTCTGTTTTGTTAAAAATTTTCTTTTTATAGTAATTTTAAGCAAAAAAAATGTTTTAAACTCTTTATTACAAGTAAACCTCAGCTCAAAAACTTAAGAACTTTCAAGATAACTGATATAGTGAAATGAAACCTCTGATTGAAGTTTATTTAAGTTTGAAAGTCTTGCTTATTCTTTAGTTACATGAGAAAAGATCCATGGCAGTTCTCTATTCTTTTTTTTTCTTGCACCTCTTTTTACCCTTACTTTATCATGAAAATCATATATATTATTACTATTATACTTACTAAATCAAATACTATTCATAATATATACTTAAACAAAGTTAGTAAATCTACTGTTTGTTTCAAGTTAATCCTTAATCATATATTCTAGTAATACTTGTTGTATTATCACAATTTTAATAATATTTTTACCTGACCAAAAAAATCAAAATCAGTTTATTTCTTTTAGATAATCAATATCCTATAATCATTTAATTAGATTTTATATAAAAATCAAAACAAAAACTAAGTGTGTTCAAACTGGTTTTGTACTATAACAACAACTATAACAACAAGTAATATCACATATATTCTTTTATTTATAGTAATTAAAAAGCTGAAAAGATATGACTATATGCCTATCTAGAGATTCTCTTGAAAAAATAATTGCTCTTCTACTTATAGATTCTATAGTTCATTCGATTTAGTTTTAATTTTAGTTTTAGTTATATTTGTTATTTTCTTTTTATTTACTTTATATTCAAAAAATCAAAAGATTTTATAAAATTTTGTTAAGTAAGTAGATATAGCTGTTATTTTGCTATATGATATTTTAATATTACTTTTGAAATTTTTTACAATATTAGTTAGATAGTAATCAAATAAGCAAGCTAGTATTTAACTTGTTATATGCAATGTATTTAAGAGATATTGTTTCTTTCTCAATATATATCTTCAATATATAATAACAAATAAAGAGATGATGTTTACCTACTGAAAAAAATCCTCCTAAAAAAAAATAATTGAATATAATATATATAATAATATATATATATATATATATATATTTTAAAAAATGAAATATGCACAAGGTATGTAATCTTTATTGATACAATCTATATTCAGATAAATACATCAAGTATCTTTACAAATTAACTGGAAATCGGTTGATATTTGGATACCCTATATGTCTCTAC